CACCAAAAAAAAAAAAAGTAAACAAAACAAAACAAAAAAGTCTTCATCAACATTCATTAAGTTCTTCCAAAAAGTTATCTGAAAGAAATATACAATTGATGATCTCTTATCCACAAAAAATACACACAAGAATACAGAAGCAACTGCACTTTTTAGATCATTCTCCAATTAAAGGTTCATAACATGAAGGGAATACTAAAGGATATTGAAAATGATTATAGCATCCATAATAATATTGGATTTCATGCAAAACTCCTCCAGAACCAAAAACCTGAACATGACGCTTATATAGCTCTTCATCTCCCTGGCCTTCAACCAAAAGTGCAGCTACTTCTGAATCACTTGGCAAATTATAAACAAGTTAGTCCAAACGAGAAACAATTTTTAAATCTATCCTACAATTGTCCAGATTATCCAAACATTTTAGATTTCTAAACAACTTAGCGTATGGATTATTTTCAAGGACCTGCATTATCTTTATAGTTATTGACTTAGTTAGACTTGGATAGGCATGCAATCTATTTGCTAACTCATGGTCTGTGTCATGAAAATACAACTGCGAGATTAATGAAGACTCTAATTGTGGGATAAAATGATACATATGTCTTCTCCTTGAATTCTGAAGGTATAAATACCTTTGTTTCTTTGGCTCAACTCTTGCTCATATTTAACTCCCACTGCGGTGAATGCAAATTGATTATTGAATGCAAACGTTAAACCTACCCGAACCAACCATCGCCAAGCTTGAGTACCATGTTGAAATTGTTGGTCACCTGACAAAGCTCTCACAGATCAAAGCGCTTCACATAGGTGATGAGACTGGATTTTAGCAGCCTCACGACTTTCCACGACTGCTGAGCGTGCGATGCAGTGGTAACCTATTTGATGCGTAAGAGCATCTTCAACATTGAAATGTCCACACATAAAAATAGTTGCCACATGGCATAACATGAACGGAACTGTCAATATGGAATTATTTGGAGAGAGACTAAAACTCTTTGTAACTTCCAATGCACTATTTTTGTGTTGAATGTCTTGACCATGTAACATCCAAATAACAAAATTATGGCTCAACAACCATTTTGATAGAATTGATTGACTTGGTTTTATTATATCATCTCCTCAGCATCATTTTTTTTTTCTTAAAAAAAAAAGATTCAAAAAAATAGCAAGTTTGTTTTGCATTGAGCATTATAAATTATTTTCAACTTGTGATTACTTCGAAGGATAAACTGAATTCAAATCTCACTTTAAGCCGGTTATTAGCCGTCTCAGTAAGGCTAGTGAGCAAGTTTAGGTTTAGCTTACCAAATTCAAGGTAATTCATTTAATCAATTTTTTGTTTTCTTTCTTCTTAAATCAGTTTTTTAATTATGCTATCACAATTTTTGTTCACTCCATTTTTAATTCAATAAGAAACTTTTTTTCGTGCCGGTTGGTAGGATCCAATCTACATAGTATGACAAATTTTATGCTAAATACGAGTAATAGATAAAATGAGATAAAATTAATTTATTATTTTTTTATTTCAATTTGTTCAATCAAATAGTATCATTCTATGATACTCATTAATTATTTTTGTTACTTTTTGTACATTGATATCATTCAAGGTGATAGAAGTTATTCCTCATCTTTCTTATTGTTTTTTGGATGACAATTGCAGCTACTGATTTTAATATCATTTCCATTCTACAAGTAAGGTTAAGAAAGGATATCAAGAGTCTAATTTTATGTTATAACATAAAAATATTTTTCATTTATTTTTTATTTACAGTAATTAATATTATGTATATTTAATTATTTATAAACATGCTTGTTTCTTCAAAGGCACTTTCAGAAACTATATTACGGTGCATGAATACAAATATGACCACATTCTTTTTAGACCTCTTGATTGATTGGAAATACTTTATAGAAATTATCATTTTGTGTTTCTACATTTAATAAAAATATATTCATCTAAAGATGTTTTCAGTTACAAAGAGCACATATTTCTTTGGTCTCATAATTATTTCTAATTCATTGTTATTGTTATTATTGTATTATACTTTATTTAACGACATGTACAATTATAATGCAAGTTGTAATGATTTCAATAAACGACGAATCAGATTCTTGTAGCACATCAAGCGATGACGAACTTTCATTTACCAAACAATTATTAGATGAGTCATCCGAAGATGATATTTTATTTCAGAGTTTTAATGTCATTCAAACATGCTCGGTTCATATCCCGGTGATAATGTTCCCAGTATTAACAAACACGAACCGTCCTCATGGTGGAACAGAAAGCAGTCGACGCTACATTCGTCGTGATAGGGAACAACGTCATGAACTTATTTTCAATGACTACTTCAAAGGTGAGAATGCTAAATATACACCTGAACATTTTCGACATTGATTTCGGATGGATATTGAGTTATTCAAAAGTATTTTACAAGCGATTTAAAATTATGATGACTATTTTACACAAAAATTCGATGCGGTGGGAAAACGTGGTTTGAGTCCTCTACAAAAAATGATTGCAGCTGTACGTATGCTTGCGTATGGTTGTGCTGCCGATCTCCTTGATGAATATGTACAAATTGGTGAAAGTACGGCGATTGAAAGTCTAAAACGTTTTTGTGATGCTATCATTGGAATATATGAAGAAAAATACTTAAGAAGGCCTAATGAATATGATATTGAAAGCTTGTTAAAAGAAGGTGAGGCTCGAGGATTTTCTGATATGCTTGGTAGTCTTGATTGTATGCACTGGCATTGGAAAAATTGTCCCACGGCTTGGCATGGGACACATACAAATGGCTTCAAAAGAGTTCCGACCCTTATCTTAGAGATTATAGCCTCAAAGAATCTATGGATTTGGCATGCATTTTTTGGCATGGCTGGTACAAATAATTGACAAAAAAGGTTCACGTTTAACCGTCAGTTTTAAGGAATAAACTGATTTTATTGGTTGTTAACTATAAGACATATGATATGCCATTGGAAAGCCAAAATAGTCTAGTTTCCAACAAAAAAAAACAGAAGTAAAAAATATTAAGTATAGAGAGAGTTATGGTAGTTTGAATAAAGGTTTGCAGAATTTTACTATTTGCTGAAAAAATAATTGACATAAAAAATTCACGTTTAACCATCAGTTTTAAGGAATAAACTGAATTTATTGATTGCTAACTATAAAACATATGATATACCATTGGAAAGCCACAAGAGTCTAGTTTCCAACAAAAAAACGGAAGTAAAAAATATTAAGTATAGAGAGAGTTATGGTAGTTTGAATAAACGTTGATAGAATTTTACTATTTGCTGAAAAAATAATTGACAAAAAAAATTCACGTTTAACCATCAGTTTTAAGGAATAAACTGAATTTATTGACTGCTAACTGTTTGTCCCATTTTTATAGTAGTTTTCGTGCTTGTTTACTTTTCTTTTCCCCCCATTTTAGGTAGTTTTTTTCATTTTTAGTTCGTTTAGTGTTTGGTTATGTGTTTTTTTTCCTATTTGAGTCTTTTTGAGTTTTTCGTGTATTTTTCCGTTTTCTGTTTCATGTTTTGTCGTTTATGGTGGTAGGTTGGAAGTTTCGGGCGAGTATTCTTTTCAGAGAGAAAAAATTGATTTGAGAGCATAAATGAACAAAGGGGTTCGTAGGCGACACGTAGCAAAAAACGGAATTCAATTTCGAGTCCGGACGAGCGTGTACGAGCCCGAGAACCGCGTCATCAAAATTCCTTCGCCGGGCCGCGAGCCGCGAGGTGGACCGCGAAGCGCAAGGATTTTTTTCTGTGCCCTGAAGTCGCGGCCGCGGAGCTGTTCTTCGCCGCTGGCCGCGGGATCCTCCGCGGGCCGCGAAACCTGTGAGTTGCAGAAATTGTGGCTTTTTCCACTAGTGGGAGCAAGGGTCGATTTTTTGGGCTTGTTTTGCGAAAAATGCACCTGAAAAAGGGGATGGAAGTCTATAAGAACATTCCCCTCTTCTTCATCCAGGATCATCCATCATAATCCATCACCATTAATCACCATTTTGTCCATTTTTTTTACCATCTTTTCCATCTTATTTTCTAAGTTTTTTTAAGCTTGTGTTTTGTATTTTGGAAGATTATTTGGAGACATTGTGTACCTTGGATTAAGTTTGCATTTGCTCTTAGATTTCACATTATTAGTAATTTATTTCTTTCATCTTGTTTATGTTGAGAATGGCTTATTTTTATGTGAATGCTTATGTTGAAATATTATGAACAACTAATCCTCTAACTAGGGTTAGGGGATAATCGTTTCGGTTCGTTCTTGTTTATATGTCAATTACTCAATCTTTGCGAGTATTATTAATTTTACGATTAAATGCTTGATCACCATTTTAATCTATGCAATCGATTTCAAAACCGAGGGGGCGAAATTGGTAGAACTGGCTCGTCTAGAGTAGACATGTTCGGAAGCGTATTGTCTATGTGTTAATTGTCTCGTTAATTTGCTCGTTTATGTTTATCCGCATAATACGAAAGTTAGTGAGGTTAAACCGCTAAATGAGTTAGTTAGTCGAACCATTTAATCGAGTAGTTGATTGACGTTAAATGTGTGTAGAACCAAAAGTGATTGTCCCTGATACCCTAGCTTGTTTATTCATATTTAAACCTTATTTATCTTTTTGAATTGTGCCTTAGAGTTGTTACATTTATATATCTCTATTTACATCTCATTAGTTGATAATTAAAACTGACAACTTTGATTAGAGTGTTTAGGAATATTTGCGTTTTTGTGATCGAATAAACGTACAAAATAGTCTGGCTAACCTTCCTTGAGAACACGACCCGGTGTTCGAATCTTTTGATTCTACTCCGGCAAAAATAAAACAACAACAAAATGGCGTCGTTGCCGGGGAAGGTTTAGGAATTATTTCGTGCGTCTATTCATTTGTTTTCGTGTTTCGCTTAATTCTTGTGATTTATTGTTTTTATGTTTCTCTTTGTTTCTTGTTTTATTTTCCGATTAGTAGTAGTATTTTTGGGGTTTTTGTCATTTGGCCTTTTTCGTTAACAGGTGCTCGTAACTTATTGTTGTTTTTGTATGCGTATTAGGAGCGGTCGTGTACTCATTCCGAGCGACAAAGCCATTAACGAGGATTTACAAGACTTGTTCGCCAACCTTTCTCTCAAATTATCAAACTCCGACAATCAAGGCAAAATGGACGAAAACAACAAAGAGGAAGTAAACAACCCCCCGCGGTATCTTCTTCGGGACTTATCCCAACCGGTGATTGGACTGGTGACTTCGTGCATTCGGTTGGGACCGACGGCTCGAAATTATGAGCTCAAGACCATACACTACAACCAGCTCCCATCCTTTCACGGGCTCCCCAACGAAGATCCGCTCCATTTCATTCGCGAATTTTACAATGTCCTTCAAACCTTTCCACTCCACGGGCTAAACGAAGACCAATTGAAGATGAGGTATTTTCCCGAGACACTCAAGGACCGGGCTAAGGCTTGGTTCATGACGCTTGCTCCCGATTCCCTCACTACTTGGGAGCAAGTATATTCGAAGTTCATCGGGAGGTACTATTCTCATCAAAAGACACAAGAGCTCTGGTCTCAAATCGTGTCCTTCGCACAACAACCGAACGAGCCACTATACGAGGCATGAGAGCGCTTCAAGGACCTATAGAGATAATGCCCACACCACAAATTTCCACCCGCTCTACTGATGAATAGCTTCTACGATTCCCTTCACCAAAACCTTCAGTACATGGTGGACAACGCGGCCGGTGGAGATATTG